GACATCGGGTTCAGGGGTGAGAGTGGTCAGAGTGTGGGGTAGATCCGGTGAGTCTACTTTCACTTTAATCCAGCTATAGTCACCGCGCCCGCCTTCAGCTTGCTGAAGGTTGTCGAGAGCGACCGTCGAACTGTCGATCATTATCGAATTAAGTACAGACCTACATCCTACGGCCATTCTACCCAATAATTCTACAGGTTATCACATTCTGAAACATTGCATTGGGTTCTTTTATTCAAAGCCGGTTTATGTTATCTGTGTTCAACCAACCCCCCCCCTCTATACCTGCTTTGCTCAATTTCTCGAATGAGGGCAGGGGACCTACCACATCCGGCCTTACCTTCGGTACTTACGTATTTCTGCTTCTCCCGCTATTTTTTCCGTTGATCACACACTTTAAATGGGCAATATGTTTTCGGCTACTATGCCCTTAAACCCAACTACGAAGCTTGCACCTAGTTGCTGGGAGTTGTTCTGCAAAGCTCGATTAACTGGCTGGCACAACTACCAGCGAATGAGAACTTGGCGACAGCTCTAAGTAATTTTGAAATCGCAGACAGACGCTGGTCCTGATTTGGGCAGTTCAAATAATGTAGCGTAAAAACACTAAAATAAAATGTGCATACTAAAAGAATGTATAACGGACGAAGGCTTTTTGCAATGCCTCTTGTTGTTCTAGACTAGATTTTTGTGAAGAAAAACGTGCAGGACACTTTAAATAAGGGTTTGTGTTTCAATTCTTGTGTCATTTGGAGAAAGCAAAACAAGTATCTGGTCTCCTCAACATTGTGATGCACATAAAATTATGTATTTCACCCATCACCATGTCCTTTAAGTCATTGCAAACTATGCCCGCACCAGCAGCGCTACTGTCAACCAACGGCGAGAGAGGGGTTGCTTCCAAGAACGACTCTTCTGTTTATTTTATTTCAGGCTAAATATAAAGGGTTCTACTTTCTAGTTCCGGAAACTAAACGAAATTGTTACGCTTCGATGTTCAACACACACACCCACACTGATTTTGATTTGATTCTCGCAAGCATGTCCGGTATAAACTGGCAGGATGTAACTGAAGCTTGAGGAGTGAACAAAGCAGGGTTTTGATTGCGTTAACGGGGATCTGTTGTGAGAATTGTGTCGCGGGGAAGCCTGTAGCTCGACCGCTGAAAACAGGCAGCTCAAATATCTTTCGGCATTTTATCCTTCCTGTTCTGTCAACTAGTGAAAATGCTTCAGGAATAACAGCCTAAGTATTACGTGACGAAATGTGAAAGGCGCAATCCACACTCAGTCAAAAGCGACAATATTTGTTCTTTTTAATGGGCGGTTGCCCAAATGGCACAGTCGATCAAAAGGCCGACGATTTTTCAGACTGTCGTCTTGTATGACCTTTTAGATTTAATCGCTTACTTTAGGAGAGCAGACGGCGGACGGGCTGTCGCCTATTTGTTTAACTCTTACGTAAAGCGTTGTTATCCTTTATGAAGGGCAGACCTTTTCCTTAAGTAGTAAAATGATCAAACCAGGGAAATTCTGAAAAGAATAGCGTTTCTAGCCAGGTAGGACAACCTTAAACGAAATTACACACTTACGACGTATACTGCCCATAAACCAAAGGCAAAGTAAATGCTGTATATGGAAGAAATCAATTTACAGAATTAGGAGATAATATAAAATACCTATGCAAAGGTGCTAAGAAGCAGTAAACGGAAGTTTGCAGCAAAACTTACAAGGTGAATGGTCAGCAAATATAAGTTTAAGATTTAGCTAGCTGTGGCTTCTCTTAGCCTTCTAACTGTTTTGGATTGACCAATTTTTGAAATATTGGACAGTGGATGCAGGAAATTTAATTACGCTAATAAACCTTCAGTGCAAAATGTGTACTGTCTACAAAATTGACAAGCGAAAAAGAATTTGGAAAAAGTTACTGTGGAAGAAGTTTGTCGTGTTATATTTCAAAACTAATTTATGAATTTTATTGAAATCGATCGTGAGGCATTCGCAGGGTAGCTGTGAGTTAGGTTCTCTTAGGCCATCCTTTAGCTAATCAAAACTAATTGTAGCTTATGACTCGAGTATATGGAATTGGGGATTACTCGTTCCTTAATTTCAGTCCATCCGTAACAGGTGTACAGATTTTCAGGCCTTCGTTTTATCACTGCAGTCCTGTGAATTAAGCTGACCGGAAGGCCTGTTCTGTTTGTAAAAAAAACAGTTTTATCCACGAGTTTATTTTCAGATTGCCGCAAGAGACTTTGCATTTTTAAAATTTCTTGTCTTTTTGCGTCTCAGTTACCAAGCTTAGCAGTGCGCGTTTTGCTGATAGGGGCAACTAACGTATATACGAAATGTTTACTGCAATATCATTGGTCAACTTGAACTTTGATCTTCCGGTCTGCGCAAATCAAGCGAGGGACCATATTAATAACTGGGAAATTTTAAGTCCCAAAAAAGTTTATTTTTAAATCCCAATAATTGTGTGCCCAGAACATAATAATAGTACTCGCAGTCACTTTTTTCACATGATTCAACCGTCATCTCCAGATGAATACAAGTGGTCTAGAAATAATCCAGGAATGGCCTGCTATGGTTTGACCAATCAACCTCTCGTGTACTCAATGAAGTACCTGCTTCAGGAGTTATTTTTAGCTACGTTTGAGTTTGAAATGGAACAAGCTCCTCGTTAGGTATTTTAAAGTTACTTTCGTATTAAACAGGCTACTCTGCTCTGAAGGTATAATTATAAAATGGAACTCAAAATTGGTCAAAAGTAACAAAAACAGGCCAAAAACAAGTGAACTGCTCCAAATAAGCTGTCAGTATCAGTCGGGAGTACATAGGCGGAAAAAGTGTATCGAAGTGCTCCCTTAGGAAACAAACGCTGATCTGCCCCTTAATCTTCAAAGAACCCGCGGCGAAGTCGTTCTAAGGTGAAAGATTTTTCTCAGTAGGTTCTTTTACTCGGTCGTAAACGTATTCATCGCAAGCCCTCGTCTAGGACGCTTGCTTACTTCGGTGATTAGGTCTATTGTTAAGACGAGTGTTAATGTAGGAACCGAACCGTCAGGTTCAAGAAAAAAGAATAATCGGGAAATCAATTAATGAGTAAAAAATTTCGAAAATTCTTCTTATGCTGAAGGTTTTACTGAACAATCGACTACGGACACTGATAACCGAATACTCTTCATTTGGACTTCAAGAGCGCCTTAAGACTTGACCAATTCTATCGTCTGCAGAAGGTGTACAGTAGTTCTACAGAAGAACCACTTATTATAATACACATGAAGTTTTATGCTCATAATTGCAGTAGCAAACTGCATCCTGGCTTCCTAGTCACTGACCAGCCTCTCTATATGTGAGCGTAAAGAGTCTAGTTTTGAGACTTCCCACACAAAAAAACAACCAGTTTCGTCCAATCAACCTCCTCTTATAGTCACTTCACATTTCTTTCGAAACGTCTGTAATGCTTTCACCTAACTAAGGTCGTTTTTTTTCAATATGATGTGTAACGCATATTCGTATCAGTTTTCGCGATATTCCAGTTTTCGTAAATTTAGGTACATTGAGAAGGATACGATTCGATCGCTGGGACAACGCGTAATTCGCCTGATTCGGTATCCGTCGCGGACTGTTCTTCAGAGGCATGATCAGAAAACAATAGCACAAACGGGTAACATATGCAGAGGAATTTGTAGTATTTCTAAAATATAGTCATTACTATAAACATTTAACGACAATTAACGATAATTGGTTTCTTGTGCGTTGACAGCTTGTGGTTGTTGATGAACTTTCATCACGTGGGGTGGACTCGGGCGTGATTATTGCCCGGCCATCTGGCTCTCGGGTGTTGGCATAAGACAACAACAACAACAACAAGCTAACAACGCACAAGAAGGCAATTATCGTTAATTGTCGTTATACTTTTGCAGGAATTATTATTTCCTATAAATACTGCAAATTCCCATGCATATGTTACTCGTTTCTGCTACTGCTTTCTGCTGATGTCTCTGATGAAGAATCCGCGACGGATATCGGCACGTCA